GCGGAGCGCGGCAGGATAATCGCGTCGCACTCACGAACATCCTGCACCTCCTGTTGTTGCATACTGCGAAAGGTGGGGAGAATACGCGAGCCGGCGGAACAGATGCCCGGGCCGCGATTGGCCGAAGGCCCGCGACCGGGCGTCCCCTATTGGCGGGCAGCGCGGGGCCCACGGGCCTGCATTGGTCGGACAGCACGTGCGGGCCACCTGCACCTGGCCGGTGGGGTGACCTCTTATAAAAGGCCCAGGCGCACCCCCCTGCCAGTCAGAGACCGGCTTGCAGCCGAACCGTTTTCAGAGTTACGAGATCGTAGGTTCCCCCAGACCCGCACTACCGACGTTTCGACGCGAGAGTCCCCCTGTTTCCGTTCCTTTAACCCCGGGTCCCGGTCGAACAGTCAGTTCAGTTCAGATCCGACCAGCGTGCCGTGAGGATCGATATTCTTTCCGAGGATCGGTCGAAGTGCCTCGCAAATCATCGTGAACGATTACAGTGGATTTTCAACGTGGAAAAGCACAGTACCTTTTGACAATTGTTTTTGCTCCCGTACATATGTGTGACGCCAGTGCAGTGAAGCCATTGGATTACTTTTGACAATCGAATTCTTTCGTCTTCCTTTCCTCCGCCACGCGGATCGCCGATCGCGATTTGTGGTCAGTGAGTGGAGGGAACTCTAACGGACAGACTGTCGACGCGAAGCCGCAACAATTGGATTAACAACCGCGGCAGCGCCTTCGCAGTGTACAGTGCCTGCGAAGAGCCGACACTGATCCGACGAAGTGCCAACGTTCACGGGAGTTACCGCCGCCAACATGCTCGTCGACGAGATGCCGCGCAGTTTCGTCAAGAAGAACAACAGCTACAGCCACTGCCCGCTGAAAAAGCGGCCGGTGCACGTACTGCCCACCGAAGAAGTTCCTGAAGTAATTAAAGGTGAGTCTCGACATTTTTACGCGACCCCGTAACGAGCCCTTTCTGCCGCCCGACTTACCGCGACCATTATCCCCTTCGTTCCCGTTGAAAACGAATAACAGTCGAAACTTCGAGACGCTTGAAACGAACGATCCAAACTAAAATCTTTTCCGAGAGAGACTGCCACTGAAACCCGTAGAGAAATCGAAACGGAACCGTTGCAAACGTCGTGCTAAAATCAGATTCCCCTTTTCTTCTCCAGAAGAAATCATCGACGTCGTAATGGACGACATCCCCGAGCCAGAGAACCTCAGCACAAAGCCCGAGGATCTGAGCCGAACGGCGGAACGGCAGCAGCAACAGCCGGCGTCCAGATCGCCGTCACCGGTCATCAAAGTCTCTCAGTCGCCGCCGTTGGCGACGAGACCGACGTCACCCACGATGCACCACGTTCACCCGGTGCATCATCTCCACCATCATTATCCGACGAAAGCAATCACGCCGCCGGTAGGGATCGCGCCGATCCACCCGGTGGCGAAAAAGGCGCGAGTGGAAGTGATCCAGCACGACAACTCGACGTCGACGTCGACGGCCGCGGTGGCGGCCACGTCGGCGCCCTTGCACTTCATGGCGGGCAAAGCACCGCTCGAACCCCTG